GGATACAAAATGAAGAAAGTTCCACACTCCCCAGAGATAGTCACTGCAAAGAGCAGCTTCTTGTCTTCAAAACAATTTTGATACACATTTTGTCCCAAGACAAATGAATTGTTCCCTATACACACTTTCTAAAATGTACTTCTTTGGCTTACTAAATAGCTTAGTTTCTCATGTCAATAATACATATGTAACAAATTCTGAAGATTACACTACATTGAGGTACTAACATTTCTTCCACAGTTCTCTAGTCACAGACATATATGTTGTTTAAACTTTTCAAATTACAAACAATGAATATCCATGTACATATATCTTTCCATGTTTATAAAATTTGTGGATCAAAATTTGGTCTATAGTTTTAAACTCCCCTCCAAAATTATTCAGTAGAAACTTCAGAATTTTAATTCAAAATATAGCAGGAAATAAACTGCAAATAAACAAGTCCAATTTTACTTTCATGTTATATACACTTTATGTTGCTCTCCCCCCAAAAAAGGAAACAAAAGAATTTAGTAGTTTTTGTATTAAAAAATAATAAACAATACAATCAAGAATGTTGCAAAAAGAATGTAACATTTTGTCTGGTAACTAAAAATGATCAACTATAACATAGGGGACTGAGGCAGAGACTCCAAGGTCCAGTGTATCCCTTTTAAGTCTGTATTTACAATAATAAGGAAAAGTACATATGACATAGCCCCAAATGCTACAGAATAGTACATAACACATATAATCTTTTTGAAGCACCAGAATAACTCTAATAAAAATCACTAAAACTATATATCATCTGAGAGTCTGTTTTTAAAGTGAAAAATGTTAAAGCCTCCATATCATATTACTGCTTAATACACAGCAGGGGTAAACCACTTAACAAAAAGGGCAATAGGGTGCTGCCAAATTTCCTTTAAGCCTTTTTCTAGAGCTAACTACATGTTCAAGTTAATAAATTCTGTAGTAAAGTGGACTATCTCAAAAGAATGCTTCTTTGTCAACCCTTCTTATGGTAATGAAACAAAAGAATACCTTAGAAAAACCAATTCACTCATCACTTTTTAAACCTCTAATACATTAATGAAATTAGGAAAGATTCAAATCATCAGAGGAATACTACCTATGATATTTATTATTTTATATTTATGTTTTGATAAACATAAACTCATTGTCCACTTTTTTAACCTTTACTATAGCAATATTTTTACATGAAAATAACTTTGTATATACTTTTTCAAAGCAGTGAGTACCACTAATTTCATACACAGAAAAAAACACATGTAAATTTTCCTGTTCTGTCTGGTTTTAGCTCAACTTTTCCTCTGGGAAGTAACATTATATATTAAGTTTAACTATCAACTGAAATAGCACGTCCCATAATTGCATCAATTTATTAGTCTTAATTCAGAATAAAAATTGGGATTCACTTAACAACTGAGAAGTTATTGCTAAATTTTATAGAAAAAGCTTAATAGATATAAAACAGAATTTCAAAGCTACCTGAATTCAGAGTCTCTTGTGTGACTTATCTGGCACTAATCACAGCTTGTTTTATTTAGTAAAACTTCAATTTAATTCAGAATATAGCAGAAAATAAACTGCAAATAAACAAGTCAATAAAAGACTGATGGAAAGGAAGTTAACCTTTAAGATGTGGTTTTTTAAAAAGAGCAACACTGAAGAACTGGAGAAAATCTTTGATAGTAATTTCCCTTTCAAAAGATGTTAACTTTAAAACTTATCCATCACTTACATCATTTGAACCTTCTTAAAGATATTTGCATGGAAATAAAGTCTATCAACAAATAAGAAAAACATGCAAACTTTTCCAAACCAGGTTTTAAATCACACATTTATAATTCAGTTTTACCTGATAACCTGGAAGTGCTACTCAAAATGCAAGAGAAGTAAGTATTCTCAGTATAGGAAATGAATGTGGTTATCTAGTATGACACCACAGAGTAAATATATAGAAAACAGTTAAGGAAAACTACCTAATTATTTAATTAAATAATCTCTGACTGCAAGTTTCTTTTAATCCAAAAGGGCTATTCGTCAGGTTAAAAGTAAACACACAGAACAGTGAGAAATCTTAAAATTAAAAAAAAAAGGGAACCAATTATTACATATATGTGCACATATACATTTATATGCACTCAAACTTACTTATGTTTGAGTGTATATGTGTAAGTTTGAATTTGTATATGTGTATGATTATTTCATATAAATGTATTATATGTACATATGATATCTGTCCGGAAAAAGTCCAGCCATTGTTAATATAGTGAGACCAGTTTGTGCGACATCGATGTAACCTGGCCGCCAAGGAGAGTGGACTGGGATGTCCATGTGCGAACAGTGATGCCTTCACTGTACTAATCAGTGGGGGTGGTAGATGCCCTTCAGTGAGCATGTGTACTGTGTGGCCATCACATTCAAAATAACAGCCAGTAGAGCAATTAATCTGCATCAAATTTTGTGTTAAGCTTCAACACTCCTCCATGGAAACTATTCAGATGATTCAGAAGGTCACAACTATAGGCAACTGGTGACTGACAGCTTCCTTACAAAAACACATCTGCTCACTGACGAAACACCAAATCACCCAGGTGACTCAGTCCCCCTACAGCCCAGATATGGCACCCTGAAACTTTGGCTTTTCCCAAAACTAAAATCACCTTTGAATGGGAAGAAATCTCAGACTGTCATTAAGATTCAGGAAAATATGACAGGGCAGCTGACGGCGACTGGGAGAACTGCGTGAGGTCCCAAGGTGCCTGCTTAGTAGGGGACTGAGGTGTCATTGTCCTATGTACTATGTTTCTTGTATCTTCTTCAATAAATGTCTCTATTTTCCATATTACGTGGCTGGATACCTTCTGGACAGACCTTGTGTACATTTTCAAACACAAATACTGTACATTCAAAATTTTTCAATGAAAGAAGCAAAATTTGAAAGGAAGCAATCTTGATAAATAGCCCATACTTTCAGGGAATATTGTGGCTAACTTTTAACATATTTGGTTATATAAAACCAAATTAATTCCCACAAAATTATCTTACTATTGTTAACTTAAATCATGTAGAAAGCAAAAATATTCTAATAGGCTCTATTATAAAAATCAATGTTTCCACTAATTCCTTCAGGCTCATCTGCAGTTCATTTTCAGAATCTTACTTGGTCAACTTTAAGTGCTATGAACAGGTACACACTATCTTTTGATAGCTTGTTTTGTGTTAACATTACTATGTATTCAATTTGGCAGCACTCAGCTAACAGGCCAAGAACTATAAGAAGGCATCTAGTATAAAAGATAAAATCCAATTTTCAAGAAAATATCCTGAATATTCACCAGTAGATGCTAAAGTCACTTCCAATCGGAAGAGCTTTTTATTATCAGAACTGTCAAGACAGTTCATACATACAAACTTCGAATAATCTGCTTGTGCATTTAGGATGGGACTTTACAATTAAAATTTGCTTAGCAAGTTTTTTGAGCAAAGTTTAAATTTTACAGAAGAAAATCATTTACTGTTTCATTTTAGGCTCGATTTAACAAAAAGTCTAAAACTCCAAATGAATAAAAACTAAGCCTTTCTACTTTAGATAATCTACTACCACAACCCCAATGGGCAATGGTAATGGTGACTGTAATTTTATAGCCACAAACTGACAAGTCCTCTGTTCATGGGAACTTTGGGTTAACTTGAGAGAAATATCAATAAAAACATATTAACTGAATATATTTGCAACTACAAAGTATCACTGCTTTAAGTCAAAGCAAGTAACTCAACTGAAGTCTACCTTATTCTCTTTCAAAAAGCCTCCTAATGGGTTCCCTTGCTTCTCAAACTACAAACTCAAAAGCAAAAGCATTCTAAAATGAAAATGTTTTGTTGCCCTTTCATTGTATTTAGAAATTACCACCCATTCTAAAGTTATAAATATCTTAGATGACCATTTTCAAGTTTCTATAAGACTTTCTAAAGATGATTTTCATCAATATTCATATCTAATATTTATTAATCTCTCTCTGTAACTAAGGATTATTACAAAATGGGAAGAGAAAAATAAATAGTGTTTGAATTTTTATTATACCTAATTTGGGACCCTTACACCACACAGCACTCTAGTCAAATCATCAACTGGATTATCATCTTTATAAATGAATTAATTATAAATGGATCAACAAAATCACAGTGAATAGAATCCTTTCACATGTGCACTTCTTAATAACAAGACTTTCTTCATTATATTTACTTAAATTGTTACTGATCTGCATTCTTAGCCTAAGAAAATGAAACTGTACAGAAAAATAGAAAACAAAGTAGTATAGAAGACTGTCATTAAGGCACGAAACTGGTACCTGTATTTCAGTGAATATGCATTATTAAGGTTTTAAACTATACCACCCCTCTGAGAGTTAAGTATTTAATAACATATCTATAGATGTATTAACACAAGAAGAAAAATTTAATGAAGTCATTATTTGATATGAGTATAGAGCCATAATTTCCTCAAAGTACTGTCTTTAGAATGACAGTAAGTCCTACTTGAGGTGATGAACATAGAGGTGAAATACAGAACACTTAAAGATTCTATAGACACAGACCCCGAGAAAGCAATTTTGCCTGTCCTGTAGCACATTCAGAGAACTCAAAGAAATTAAGGCTTAATCAAAATAAGTTTTTTAAATCAACATTTCCCCACACCGTACAAATGCCAAGGAATAACAGAACTGCCCAAACCACTTTGAGAACACCAAAGTATGAACATTTATTAATACTTTTAACTACCTTCTAATAATAGGCATGCTCAAAATATAGAATAATAGTTGGAAAAGGGAACAGCAAAGCCAAATGTTCCATACACTCAGAGCAAATCCTATAAAAAGTGCCCTTATATGTTGTTCCAAAATGAAGCTATCTCAAGAAAGAATTACAATCATTATTACCCATTATCTGCTGCATTAAAGTTGTATCACCAAGATTACATAAGGCCTGCATACCAAGTTCATCGTGCAAACTGCTGCCGCCTACAGCAGATGCATTGTCATGTGATGCTTCTAAGTGGACACTCCCATTTCTCACCAGCAAGGAGGCACTAGCACTGAGCACTGCAGCCTGGGAAGGGGGGCGGGACTGGACTTTGACCTGGGCTGTGGACTGCTGGCCTTGCTGCCCATCTTGAAGGCTAGGAAAAAACATGGATTGGGGAGACATTACAGGGAAGAAAAGAGATAACAATAGCTAGAATGAAGTCAATATAGAAAAAAACCTAAAACGTTCTCAATGTAACATAAGAACCAACAAACTTCATAAAATATACAGGTTATACTGCCAGCTTAAGTCTTCTGATCCTTAGAAATCTGATTCATAGTGATAAGCACAGGAAACATTTAATGTATATGTAAATGTAACAATCTGTGACTTTTTTCCACCTTAAGCCAAAAGAGTTCTAATATAAAAAAAGAGAAAACAGCAAAGAACCACAAGTACATAAAATATATGTGGGTTGTAGCTGGTCCCAATAAATAAATCCTATTTTTCAGTTAAATATGCACTTTTATTTATACTACTACTTCTAGAGTTGCTCTTTCAAATACTCTGACCTCAAATTCACAATAAGACAGAATGTCTATGCATTTGAAAACCAAAGAATCTTTATTAATTCAACAAAGATGACAATTTTAAATCCAAAGAAAACCACAAACTAGTGCAAGAGAATCTGTGTATAACAAACACCAACTTAAGCAAGTGAATTAATGACCGCTGAGACAATGGAAGAAGTATAATTAATATATAAAGGGTTTTTTCTATTAAAAGCCTACATATTTCTAAAATAAGGCTACAGGCATTATATACAAAATGTTAGTTAATAATTATGTTCCCTTAAATTTTGTTAGTACCTTTCCAATCCATATCATGGTATAATTAACAAGAACCCATCATGTTAGAAAATCTTAAGAATAATCTGGAAACCAGCAATTTCTCAAGGGAATTATAGTCTTTTCTAAATGTTATAAAATTCCAAAAATACTTAATATTTTGTGCTTATAAATTTATTATTTATTAAAATTATTTATAAAAATTGTTATCTAAAAATTATCTAAAATTAAGAAACTATACTATATTCTTAACTCATTTTAGATTTTTATATGCTTATTTTAAAACATTGTGAATTTTAATTTTTTTAAATGAATGAACGTTGATTTAATTATAAAAAGCCACAGAGGATCATTACTCAATTTAAACTGATGAAATTCAAGAAAACATCGTGAGCATTATTATATGTCATTCTCTACATTATGTTCAATGCAATGCTGCATTCTTTTACTAAAATCATTAAACCTTTTAGGAAACAAAGAAGAATGCGACTTAAGATGGCCTCCTTCATTTACTTTATCATATTCAGGATTATCAATTTCTCTCTAATCCTTTGAATTCAGTGTAATGGTTTTTCTGATGCTCATAAAATAAACTCATCTGCTGCAGACTGTGAAGAGCGCTATTATCTGAAATAACTATAAAATAAAAAACTAAGTAAAAAGCTGCATATATTGCTTAAGTCTGTGGTTACAGCAACAGCATAAACTCTGGAACTGCACTAATTCAGCAGCCACATATGATAATTTAAAGTAACTTAAGTTTATTTTCTCAGTTTCACTAATCATATTTCAAGTACTTAACAGCCATTTAAAGTGGCTAGTGGCTCCCACAGCTAAAAGCCACCAGAGTAGGTAGAAGCTAGTAGTTAATGTCTACCACACTGGAGAGTGCAGATTACAGAATGTTCGCACCACCACAGAAAGCTCTATTAACCACCACTACCTGGAACATTCAGATTCCAGGCTTCATTTACAGCCAATGATGCACTCTAGGTAGAGCGCAGGAATGTATGTATCATACAAAAATATCAAGTCTTCAAAATGCTGACATGTCAATGCTTACTGGTATTTTTTAAGCCATAACTGTATTCACTTAATAATTTCTTTCGAGTAGAATTTTTGCAAAATAGACATAAATCGAGAGATAATCCTGAGAATATAATCAAATATTTTTTATCTTCTATACATATATAATGTCTGTTATGCTTCCTCAGAAATTATCTAAACTTATCCACAAACCTTACCAAAATGACCAAATTTCATAAGGGAGAGAATTCTGAGGAAAAAAATATTTAAATAGTTCAAGTACCATGTCCCTTCAGATTCAGAAGACAGAAGAATTTTATAGAATATGTACTCAACAAATTTTGCTATGAATTTTTTTCACTTAAAAGTCAGAAACAAAGGTGTTATATGGCAGCTAGGTGTGTTTTAATGTGAACGTATGAGAATACACTAATCTTCAACATATCCAAGTACACAAAAAGGTTTTCAAAATATCCGGCAATGCATGAAGACTCTAGAAATCTTTGAAAATGTCAAGTTTTTGAACATCAAAAGCTAGTCATAAAATGTTTATTTCCCTTGAATTCCTGTTTCCAAAATACTTCAACAAATGAACGCCTGTCATTTTTGCAGAAATTATTAGGAAAACTGCTCCTGGAGGGTCATATTTCACCTTAGGCTAATAATTGACATGAAGTAATCTTTTTTACAGTACAATTATATACCAAAACTACCAGTTGGAGAAACGATAGCAACTATTTTACAACAAAGCAAAAGGAAAGGCAGAAATTTAGGTCTTTCTCTGTCAGCTATCAAGAGTATCACTGATATGCATTCTTACTAATTAGCATTTCCAATTTAAATGACAGAAAAATATAGTTGGTCTTTCCTGCCTCTGTACCACCTATTTAGTATTTGACATAGTCTGACTGTTAGTTCTTTTTGCATGTGTCTCTTCAACTAAAAAGTAAACTCAAAGAGGAAGATCACATTATCAAGACACTTAGAAGGGTCTTAGAACACAGTACAGAAACAACAAATACTTTGTGGATCCATGCCTGACCTCCACAAAATTATCTCTATGAATTCCTCATCACGGACTCTCAGCTATGCTCTGACTTCATTTACAGATGGTTACAGATCTTTCAATCTTATGGTATTTTTAAAAATAAATCTAAAGATACACTGAAGCATTTTTCCCTTCCCCAAATGCACTGATAACTTCTTTTCATGCCATCCCATTAGTTTGTTAAAAAGATCACATTTAGGTTGATAACTATAGACTTAAATGTAGACTTCTTAATATTAATGTTACAAAATTTTTAAATTTTCATCTTTGCCTTTATCTCTAGTAACCAGAAGGACTCATAAGGGCCTATAAAACCTACCCTATAATGCTAACAACAACAAAAAATATTAAAATACCTTTAAAATTAGTTTTGAACGGCATATCCAAATAAGCATAAAAAGTCATGCCAATTTCTTTATGAAGAAATTGATGATTCACTCCCAATCCCTGGAGACATATTTTATCCAGTTGCTTTTTAGATTGCTGATCATTGAAACAGTTCACTAAAGTTTAAAAGAAGTTGGTAGATTTTACTAGTGTTTATTTAGTAATTATAATTAAAGTATTACCATACCTATTTCTTTCGGACAAATTTTTCAAGTTTTGCATGATTGTGACATCCTGTCTTTAAGATGAGATTATTATGATGTAACTCACACTGAGAATTAACACCAATATACTTTTCCTGAATATTTCTGCAATTAAAAAAGATTATTTTATTGGTGTTTCTCCTAATTCCTCACAGCAGCTAAATTTTATCTCATTTCATCCATAATGAAGTCAGCCTATTTAAGATACATACAACCTTTGTACGGGAAATATCCTGGAACCTGAAAAAATCTACACACTGACTACTAGAAGACAACTTTTAAAAAATTCTCATGTGAGCCCTTTATAAACAAGTTTTGTATCAATCTTCATTTGAATGGTGAAATATTTTAAACTCTACAAAACATGGAGAACTCCTGCATGACTGGCTGGAGTTAGAACACAGTTCTTTAATATTCCACCAGGCAGACAAAAAACTAATTTGTCTCCATTAGTCTGATGAGTGGGATCCAGCAGACTTGTTTGCAGCAAAAAATGAAAGGATTTTTAAAGACGAAAAAGAGGTCTAAAAATGGATTAAGAAGTATCAACATGGAGTGAGTAGGAAAGCAAAGAAATCTATGGCAAGTATTACTCCGGACAAAAAGAGGAGGTTAGAAAACACAAAATACAAGAAGTAAAGTAAAATGCTGAGCTCTTTCTGGAGTTTGGTACTACACCCCAAATCCATCAGCAGAAAGAAAAGTTACTTCAGGGAGCACGGGAAAGAGGTGGAAAGGAGAGAGAAGAGGAGGGCTTTAAAAAGCAAATGTGCTCAGGAAAGGTTTCTAGAGCCAGTATTTCTTTTAATTGGTATCTTCCCATTTTTATATTTTAAATATTAAGATAATCTGTATTACTTTTTTTTACAAAATATGTTATTACTGCTGGATTAATTAGGAACATGACCCGTGAAAGATGAAGTTCCTGGTTATAATGTAAAATAATCAAGTCATATATCCCGAAGAAATATAAAATAAAGAAACAAGATTTCTGTTACTCTTAAAAGCAACATTTTAACGAGAAGTGGTTTATCTCTTCCAACCTACCATGCATTCAACAGCCATTATTTCATCTAATGCTCCTCCTTTTAAATTTCAAATTGAAATATAGGAAAATAACTTGGATAATGTTGCTTTTTAACACACAGATTATCAGAAGTATGTGGTATAATATATGCATTGCGTAAGCACATGTAACGTATTTTTGTCTATATTTGTATTCTTAAAAATAAAGCACAAATCTTTTGAACAGATTTTTATATTTCTAATAAAAGACATAGTTCATTAGATTTGATGTAATTGAGAATAAAACACTAAAGTTTTAATGGAAAATTGTTTCCAATATTAAAAATAGATGTTTTCTTAATTAGGATACTGGAAAAAATAAAAATGTTTTTGTTCAATACAAGATAGAGGGTGAGAAATTCAACACAGATGTGCATTTAAAAATATGTATATATCTCTAATTGGCCATATTTTACCACAAATTAAATATTTCAGTTTCATGTCATTTACTAGGTCCTAGTGATTATGAAATAAAAACACCAATTTTTTAAGCAATATAAAATAAAATATGTATTTTAGTGAAATAAAATATTCTAACTGGTTTCAAGCTTAGGTCTGTTATCTGTTATTCCTCAACAAGCTTACCACTCAGTCTATATTTGTTTATATTAAACAATGTTAAGATGTGGTATTATTATTAATTTGGAGTAGAAAGAAATGAAAAGCTGGCTTAAGGCCTCTATTTACATTTCTAAAACTACCTTAAAGTGATTTTTTTCCAATTAGAATTGGCCAAACCAATCTGATCATTTTGTTGAAGAAGTGCAACATAAGGCATGCATAATGCAATAGATTCACGGTTACATGCAGAGAAAACCTAAAGAGCATAAAAGCATATGAGAGAAACTGGAAGAAAAAGAAAATCAAAGCTTTTTAAACGCTTTCCTAGGACCGACAGAAGAGGTTAGAACGTCTGTTACATGCATGCTAAGCTCGGTGGAACTGGAAGATACCGTACCTTAGGGGAGATCCGATGAGCAAGGTAGGAGGGGCAGGGTTACCCCCTGCATGGTGCCGGCGCCGTACTGCCTGGCGCCTAAATGTGCTGCGTTCACGGCGAAATGACACCGCCTCCTCGCTGGCCTGTGCTGCTGCATTAAGACAGACTTAGGTCAAATAGGAGCCTAGGTCAGAGGTGTAACTAGCAGCTGAGCCTGTCTCTCCCTGACTTCCCACCCTCAAAGGTAAAGGGAACTTGTTTACCTGAGCTTAATGGTTGTCTTACATACACTGTTAATCTATCACCATAAGGAATACACAAAAAGTATCAGCTGTTTCCTTACAGATAATTTTTTCTTTAAAAACAACGTTTTTGACCTATTATCTGGCCTCACTCCAATCTCAATATCCTGTTTTAAGATCTATGTTGTTTCAAACGTTTTTCAAAAAGTCTTACTTATTTAGCCCCATATTCCTCTCTCTTCCCTCTTTAATTACGTCAGCCTTTCCAAGTATTTGTCAGTTCCTACTAAAGGCATGGGGCCTTATGTTTCTTACTCTCATGAGGACAGAAAAAGTAGCGATGACAGCACTTCATTTCTGATGCCGAGGAACGAGGCCCTCAGTTGGCCTCATCCTACCCTGCGCCACAACTCTGGCAGCGTTAACGGAACCACTGACTGCTAGGATTCACAACTAGTCTTTAAAAAGTTCGATTCAATTAACTGTGAAGCAGTTTGCTACCATCAAATTTCATTCAACTCTGTGCCCCCAACACTGTGAGCCCCGCAACAATAGGAAGCAAGTATCAGCAAAAAGGCAAGTCAGGAAACTCATAACTTAATCCAAAAAGCGATAAAGTACAAACTAAAACCAATGTACAATGAGAAAAATCACAACAACGGCTTAATTACTACATAAAATTTTACAAAACCATACTAACCAACTTGAGTTTCTAAAACAATATGCAAAATGATGTTTATCCATTTAAATTTAAAACAATTGTTTCCTGGTGATCTAAATAATTTAAGAATCATTTTGATTTACAGAAAGGACATTTTGAAATATGACTAAAGACAAAACAACTTAGTACAGAAACATTATTTCCAAGTACATGATAACCCCCTTTGTTTAGTAAGTATGAAATGGATTACAAAATCAAGAATATTATATTTAGATTTCAATTCTACTCCAAGCCTTCTTTACATTTTAAAAACGTTACTAATTCTCAAATCATTATCCTGCTTACCAACAGCCAGTTCCATCAATTCCAATGCCGATTAAGATTCTTTCAAATGTTTGCATTTTATCCCCTCCCCAGGCTGTACCAGCAAATATTCTTTGTGTAGTTAGTCCATTATGATTAGCAACATATAGACTACCTCCAGAAGACACAGACTTCTTTGTCTTTAGGTATTGTTTTCTTTTATTGAAGGAATGACAAGTACAGAAGTTTAATCATTTGGCAAGCTTCTGCCAGTAAGAAGTGGTAAATCACAAATTACAGGACACTTATTTATATTATTTATAATCAGTTATTAATATACACTTATTTATTTCTTTGTAGTGTGCAGCTCACACAGTACAGTGACACACTAAAGTTAGACAACTAAGTAAGAATTGAGCTTTGGATCCAAATCACAATTGATTCTTTGAGCTAGTATTTCTTTTCTTTTTTCTCCAGTTTTACTGAGACATAATGAAAATTTTGTTAAATGTGAAAAGACTTGTGATATATAAGCTCATACATGCAAAAGTCATGTATGACTTGTTAGAACAAATGATGTTGATTAAAGCTGGTCATAGTAGCCACCAGCCATTTGTGGTTAAACTTAATTAAAATTAAATAAAATTTAAAATTCAGTTCATCAGATGCATGGACCACATCTGAAGTGCTCAGATACCTGAGCACTACCTGAGGCTAGTGGCTGCCCTTACTGTACAGCACAAATATATAATATTTCCATGATCATGGAAAGCTGTATTGCAGTGCCAATTTCAAAAGTCAAGCTTTTTGTCACCACATTCTACAAAGCATATTGTGTGCTTTGCCTGTTTCTGACAACCATGGACTCAACAAAAGAAAACTGTGACCGCACTGTCACCAAAGGGAACACACACATTGGCAGGGCAGTCACTGAATAAAGGTAAACAAAGCAAAGGAAACAACCCACTTGGAGAACATGAAAACCCCATGTGAGTGACTGCTGTAACTGTTAATGGTTCTCCGACATCAGTAAGGTGAACTCGGGTTATGGAATTTAAAATCACTCTTTTAAAATCAATTTAATATTTTGTGAACTTATATTGAAGATTTCTATTCTATTGTAACAAGCTGTGGGTCAGTTTACATGTCAATTCACTTCACTGAGAAACTTTAAACATTTCTAATTTCAGATATTTTGTTACAAACAAAATAGCAGAATAAAATTTACAGATATAATTTACAGAGAATTTAATCCATAAAATGTACTAAAATTATTCAGAAGAACTGGGTGAAAAAAAGCAGTATGTTATCACTGAATACTGAGAATAGAAAAAAGGGAAATAGGGAAAGTTTTATTTGCTATCTTCCTCTTGGTTAAAGACTTAATGGAGTTACTTTCAAGTAAAAGCTAATTGTTCCATAGTATGGGATGAAAAGACAAACTATAGTGTCCATCTACAGTCAAAATGTTCTTTTGCTTCTTCAGAAAAGACCTTTTCTTTTGCTATTAACACACCATTTATATTTTGTTATCTGCAAAATCACTAAATATTAACATTTACTACTTTCTTAATAGTTTTGTAAACATATCAGGATGTAAGTTTAGGCATCCGTTGAACAATCTACGAAAATGGAGTTATGATTATTGCCTAAATTATCCTCTATAATATTCAGTGTGTCATTATCAAATGCTGAAAGAATTTTCAAAGTTTACTATAGCAATTACCTTAACAGTAGCTAGGATCACACATTCAATTGAAAATACGTTATTTATGGGCACAACAAAAAAGACTAAGCAATGCCCCCTGGTAATGTGCTACTTATACAGAGCATTTCTACTTGGAATAGGTCCAGAGGGAGTACAGTTCTAGTAAGAGTCAAGAAAAGTGTCTTTAAAGCTTAAAATAATTTGCCATAAGCACAGTCACATGAATTATAGCCAAGCTTAATGAAAATTCACTTCCACAATCCAGTTGCAATAAACTCTTTTTTAATCCTTTAACTTTATAAAAGAAAACAACAACAAAATCTTTAAACTAGGAAACTAGACAGGAGAGAGCAAACTAGGGTTTGAAGTTGGTATTTTGATATTGCTTAAAACTCAGTATCTCCTGGAAAGAGAGAAAAAGACGAGAGAAAGAGAGAAAGAGAGAAAGAAAGAAAGAAAGAAAGAGAGAGAGAGAGAGAGAGAGAGAGAGAGAGAGAGAGAGAGAGAGAGAGAGAAAGAAAGAAAGAAAGAAAGAAAGAAAGAAAGAAAGAAAGAAAGAAAGAAAGAAAGAAAGAAGGAAGGAAAGAAATTAACTAGTAAAATAGTAAGACCATAAAATGCAAAGAGTAAAAATTCAGCACTCTAGGTACAGGTAAATTTTATGCATGTGTAGGCAAAGGAGAAAAAATAACATTCAAATGTTTAAAAAACCATGGATGACAAGACATACAAAATAATCTCAAGGGCATGTATTTAGACAATGTGGTTTTTAAACATATTTTTTTTAATTATGAGAGTCTTAACATTTTTTTTTTACTGCTGTCCTGCAAACCAAAGGGTTTCTGGTTTGATTCCCAGTCAAAGTACATGCCTGGGTTGTAGGCCAGGTTCCCAGCTGGGGGCAGTCAGGATGCAACCATACACTGATGTTTCTTGCCCTTTCTCCCTCCCTTCCCCCTTCTAAAAATAAATAAATAAAATCTTTAAAAACAAACTGAAAAGAACGTTCAAATGATTTTTTTTAATTTATTGATTTTAGAGGGAGAGGGAAACATCAATTTGTTGTTCCACTTATTTATGCAGTTATTGGTTGCTTCTTGTATGCGCCCTTACCAGGGACTGAACCTGTAACGTCGGAGTATCTGGCTAATGCTTTAATCAACTGAGCTAGCCCACCAGGGAAAAAACATTCAAATGATTTGGCAAAAAAATTTAAAAGAAATACGTTAGTGTAAGCATGGTATCCATGTTGTATAAGTATCTTTTCCCTTTCTTATTCCCCATGTCAGCCCAGGATGATGCTAACATCAGTGTGCAAAGATTTTGTTTTAACACAGAAATATACTTTTTATAAGTGCCATTTTCTGGGAGGCCAAAGAATGAGATCCTACTGTACAATCTCATTCTGAATTAAAATAATTTTCATCCGTAAAAACACTGTGAAGGACTACTCTACTATTTCTTTTTAACCCAAGGATATGTTTTACTGACTTTAGAGAGGAAAGGACATCAATGTGAGAGAGAAACATCAACTGGTTGCCATCCATTCACACTCCGACCAGGCTTTGAACCTGCAACCTAGATGTGTGCCCTGACTGGGAATCGAACCTGCAAACTTTGGTGTACGAAACGATGTTCCAACTAACTGAGCCACCAAGCCAGGCAGGACTAGTCTTTTTGACAAGTAAACCAACAAACAAAAGCAAATAATAACAAAATTATTAGCCATGACTTGAGTTACACAGAATTTGCACACCCTTATTGATATTTTCCACAATCCCAGGCAGACAGACAAAAATAGTTGGATACAAGAAATGCTTTCAGGAAATTAAATGATAACTCTGGAGTCATAATTCACATAGAACAGTTCCTAAAAGACATAGTTTAAGAATTACTTTCACAGGGGGTTCCTCATCTTTTTAAATCCTTTGGGAACAGGATAAAAGACATGGACCCTCTCCCAAAAAGCTACACTCAAAAACAAGTCTGCATATATATTCAGGAGATTCATTTAACAAGGTTCATTAATGAAGAGTATTTGCTGTGGCATATTCAAAAAAGAAAACTTCCTTACAAATGATTAAAAGGCATCAGTGTCTTTATTTCCATAATAAACTTGTAATTTACAAAGCATGTTCACATATTTAAACTCATTAGAGTCTGATAGTTAATTGTGAGATAAGCCTAGACAGTTACTTCTGTTTGACAATTGAGGAAATTGAGGCACAGAATTATTGGCTTGCCAGAGTATCCAGTCAGAAATTAGAGGCAGTGTTAAGATGTAACCATTCAATTCTTTATCCAGAACTTCACTGCATGTAGAAAGAAAATACTATCATGTCTACTCCTGCCACACAAAATCAGGTATAGGCTAGTTTTGGGAATTCTATATACAAACACTCGCCTCCTCAATAAAATACCTCTTTTCTTGATACTATTTTAAGATAATTTCTCCAAGTAACTGACATATCCAAACCTGTTTGCTACATTTAATGAGTGTTCTTCTATGTGGTTTTACATGTCTAAGCTTTCTTCTCAGTATAGACTAATAAAATCTTTCCTTAATGAATCAGGGCCAGTCACATACAGGGTGGGCAAATGTAGGTTCACAGTTGTAAGTGCACAGAGTTTATGCTTGTGTTATTATTTATTAATTATTGTATTATTTTCCATACAGCCATATACATTTATTATTGCATTATAGCAGAGTAGAGCATTAAGTCGTGATACTATGATGTCACTGATCACTATTAAAAATAAAAAGACAATTTGCTCCTACATTTAATGACCCCACACCATCATAGTTTTTTGTGTTGGTTTGTATGGTTATTCCAACTTCTCCTTTAGTGTCAGCAGGGTTTTTCTTCTGCTGTCATTACTTTTGCCTCTACAAGTGCCCCACCCCTTCTACTAATTTCCTTCTTCTAACTTGCCATGTGGACTGGAAGATCAGAAAATTAATTCACCGGAATCCAGAGTCCTTCTATTTAGTAAAGTACAAAGCCTTAATTTACATGTTCTTGTTTGTGCAGTGGTCTTAGTCTTTTCTAATGTTCAGTGATATTTGGCTTAAAAATAACCAACCTTCAATTTACATGTAGGGCACAAACCCTCATAAACTATTTATTGAAAACATTTGACTTTCTTTGAATAAAGAAATATTCCCTTAACAAAAGATTATCTTTGGTTCCCAAACACAAAACTATTACAATAGGATCCTATTTTGTGCTTACAGAATGATGACCCAAACATTACACTAGAAATCATTTCCTCAAACAAAAAAACAGGTTAAGAAATTCAGAGAAAAATATAAAAAATAAGAGCGAATATAAACCTTTGCATTCTGGTTGTTCTTTATAAACTGTTGACTCATGCAGGAAATAAGTTGAAGTGACCCAAAAGAAAATGATTTTTTAAAAGTAATACAGGCTAGAATAATAATACTTTTCTATCATATATAACTTGTCTGTACTTTTTTATTTTTTAAATATTAGTCAAATTATTAAAGGTATGCTTTATAATTATAAAATTAGGCGAATCGAGAGCAACAAAAAAAATGCCTTCACTGGAATCTAAAACATTTTTCTTGCCTAAGCAATCACAGAACACTACTGATGAAATATCATTTTAACCAAAGTACTTAATGGTGAGTAGTCCTATGAAAAGTTACAGGTTATGTGACTAAATATCAAAAGATAAGTTATATGACATATTGCTGCCAAAATAAGATTAAAATCCATATTACCAGATTAGATGTTATAAAAATGTTTTTCTGTTGGTATTATGTTAAGAAATTAGAATTCAGGTATTATTATTTTTACTATTGTCGAGCTTCACGATGGCACAATTAGAATATCTCTAATCCACTTCTGAATTTAATCATTTTCTTCTACATTAAAGATAGGATATATTTCAGCAGCATAATAAACTGGTCTATATGACAGAAAGAGCAGCACTATTAAGCATTATCTACATGCCAGGCACTATTCTACGCATTTTACATTCAGTAGTTCCTTAATCCTCACACCAACCCTCTGAGATACAATAGATAGTATTATCAACACAAAGAACCATCAGGAAGCTGAGACTTAAAGAAGGTAAGTAGCTTTCCTAGAGCCAGAAGCCCATATACTAACATATAGGACTCCATGACACTATGTTAGATTAACTCCTGTTTCAGAGTATTTTATTATAGTACTTTAAAAGTACATTTCGTAAATTCCATTACTAACACCATTCTGCTTAAAAAAAAACCCAAAAAAACAAAAAGTAGTTGTGGAAGAATTCATCAACACCTCCAATTCATTATGATACAATCTATTTATGGTTTATGTATAAGGACATGAATGGTGAGCAATATCCTCTGTTTTGTTGACACATTTCAGGAGTACAGTATGTAAGGTAGAATAGATAGCCCACAAAAATTTCTCCTAAATTGTCAAAAAGAATTGTTAACAATTAATGCAAAACAAATTTTTACCAAGTATTTTAGATGCTCTGTAATTTTTACATAATGAGAACCAAAACATCCTCTCCCATTACCTCCAATTTTCCAAAAAGCCCAAACAATAAAATGTGATGAAAATGTCCAAAATATAAATCCTTAATACATTTAAGGCAGTTTGGTTATACTCTTACTTTTAATCTAAACACAGTGAAGCTCTAATAAAAACAGCCCCTACTATGCCTTCTTTCAGCAAAAAATGTTTTTTAACAGCCCACAGACTATTATATTTATTCCATCAAAGTACATGGAAATTTTTAGTTCAGTATTTTGTTTCTTACCAACAATCAGTGGTTTATTTGTTTGTTTTTTAAAAAATAAGGACATAAATAAAAGAAAACAAAAGCTGGAATCTGGAAAAATGAGGGCTCATATTAGTCAAAAGATATGCACTAAGAAGCAATTAAGATCTTCCATATAACTTTTCCTAATGAACAGAACACCTTACAATCCCTGTGAAAAGAAAATGACATTTTAAATACAAAGACAAAAACTTACTATAGCTCTTGTACATATTTCTTAGTATTAAAATTTCAACAATATTTAGAAGAGCAATATTTTTCTTTCATAGCATGTTCACTCTTAAAATTTATTTTCATGACAACTTTAAAAATTATGCTGTATTGTAAAACTCAGTTGTTTCTTACATGTTCTGAACATATCTGATATGACTTGTGTGAGAAATCACTGAAAGCAAATCAGACCTTTTATTAAAAAAGCTATGATACCCATGTCAAAGACTCAAAGGATGATTTCAATCACTTCAAATATAATTAGTTCTCAATATTTAGGTTTGATAGACTATGTTCTTTCTCAGTTTCAAAAGATCATTTTTTTACATTCTCACTAGAAATTAATCTTTGTTACAAACTGTTACACTAAAAGAAACAACAGAATGTTTACCACAATATGGACTTTTAAAATACTCTGGGTAAAATTAGAATTCTTTAAGAAAAAAAGCATGTCTTTGTACTTCAGAATGTTTGTACAAACAAAAAATTCAGCATAACTTTTAATGTTGAATGTTATCACTGCAACAAACTGTATAAGCTTTAAAACCAAAAATATAAGGTTGAAAAAAAGGGAATGGGGGTGGAGGATAAAAAAGTTACAGTGCTAGCAACAGAAGGTTTCATTTTTCTCATTCTAGTCAAGGACCAGATTCTGTAATAACTGGAACAGAATGAACAAGCTATTCTGGACAGGAGGAAACCACAAGAAACAACTCTGAAATAAACAAAATGGCCAAAGCACACTGATAATATAAAATCACCTATCAAATTTTGCACAATTTCCCAAAAATTTGAAATAAGTAAGCTATTCTTTAACCAAAGCACTATCACTGTTATCACAGAGAGCACCATCTATCCATTAATAGATACTAAAGGCCAATATAAACTACAAACATCAACTTAATAAACTTTAAGAAAAGTATAAAGTCAAGGGAAAAAAAATATTCTCAATGCCTAAAACTTGAGTAAGAAAAAATACAGCCAGAGAGACAGACATAAAAGAACCACAAGTTTTCAAAGTACATAGTCAGAGCTATAACAATACTGTATTTGGAGGAAAATCTTATATAACAGGTTAAGTGATCTAATTCTGAAAGTTCACTGGTACACGGTATGTAAGAGATAACTAAAAATGGTTTGGTGCCCTAATGAAAGTCTCCATTTTGTTGTTGCTATTGTTATACAAAGAAGGAAGAGGATCAATTTTTGTTATTCCTAATACAGTATTAACAGGTGGCAACTGCCTTAGAAAAAGGTGAATGCTATCAAGAATAAAGTGATATATTTAAAGAATGCAACTGAAAAAATATTTTCTTGGTGTTCATACCAAAACCTTTTGTAAGGTAACCATCTCCTTCTTCCTGGAAGAAAGTCTATTTCAATAACAGAGTGGAAGGTGAGTAATAGTAACACAGAGCATATTTCAGTAGGTACTACTGTGATCAAAAGCAGCAATAATTGCAGTCACTCTTGGGGAAATCTCTTCCTGTAATTTACTTACCTCCACTGACTGCATCTTGCTCTTCACCTTCAGGAAAGGCAACCTGGCTTGGCAAGCTATTCCTAGATCGAGTGACTGTCTCTAACTGGGAAGCCCGTCCCAATAAAGATAGCTCATCTAGCACCTCTCCCTCTTTGGCCTCGAGATCTGATTTTGAAGTGGTTAAGGGTTTTATACTTTCGGGTGCCATCAGCCTACTGGAGTCATTCAAACATGCTACTGTGCCACTGTCCAGGCTCAGCACACGGGCCCGCGTCTTGGCACTGTTTGTGCTAGAAGTCCGCCGTGTTGTCCGCTTTTTGCCAGTTCCCTCGGGACCCAAATGACCTTTGTGTATGTGCTCAGAGTCACTGCCCTTTTCTTTAGGGACATGTTTGGTCTTCAGAGCACTGTATCGGCCCTCAGGAGACTGACATGAATGAGAAGTGGTGCTAGAAGAGCTATCACTGCTGAACTGGTGAGCAGACTGAACGCTTGATGCTCTGCTCAAGTCACTTTGGTCACTGGAGTCCTCATCGTGACAAAATATAGCACTGTGTGGCTTGGTACCAGAAATACCTCGAAAGGAAACATAGTCCCTATGCCGACTTGAATCAAAACTGCTGGCCCGTTTCTTTCCCGTCCGTCTCCTGCCTGACTTATGGGCAGAGGCTGTCCGGTGGATTAGGCTAGAGGACTTAGGTCGTACGTCCCCTTCCTTTTGCTTTCCACCAACATCTTTTCCAACTTTTGAGTCCACTGAAATGGCAGGCTTATTACTCTGCTCCTCTTTGCTTTCAGCAGCTTTCCCAAGTGGTTTGTCCCCCAGCGAAGTAAATTCATTTGCATGGGGGTTTTTATTGGCTTCTTCAGATGCGGAGGTGCTGACACCTCTCTGATTGTGCGTGTCATCAGAAGTGTTAGATTCCTTGGCCTCTTGAACCCCACTATTCGTACTCACTTCCAAGACAGTCTTTTCACTACTAGTCCTTTTGTCACTGGTACAGCTACTCTGGTCCTCCAGGTCGGCACAGCATCCTTTTTTCCTGCCGCTTTTCTTCCCCACTTTAGGAGACTCCTCGTGCTCTGACAGGATGCTCTCTATGTGAGTTGAGCTGGTCTGTTCACTTTTGTAGCTGCTGACAGTGCTGTTGGTGTCCCGGTCCGTTCCGCTGCAGTAGCTCTCGGTTGACCCACTACTCCGCGTGCTCAGGCTCCTCAGGCTGTCCATGCTTTTGTCTCCTTTCAAAGGTTTGCTCTTCCCACTTTTTGCAGGTGGCTGAGAAATACTGTTTTTCAGCTCACCAACAAGCTGAAATTCCCCAGATAAACGAGAATTTTCCACCAAGGATTCTTTGGATCCAGAATGAGGTTTGGACGATTCTAGCTCACTAACTGGATCTAACCCTCGTCTTTGCTGATACAGAGGGAAGTCATTCAGTGAAGTATCTGGAAAAGCCACAGCAGAGCTAGAGGTCCGCGGCACACCTCGTGGCCGGTGATCCTTCCTGTACGAGTGTGAATGTAAGGGGACAAGAGAAGCTACTTCTGTGTCACAGGCACTGGACAGAGACTGATCAACATGGTGGTGGTGGCTGTGACTTGGCAGGCTCACTTTGTCGCTGCAATCCCTTGGCAAGTCCTGTCCACAAGAGGATAAGGAAGGCTGAATGGAGATGAAGGAATCATTGGAGACCAGACGGAAGAGCTTCCGATCAGTTGCCAAATCTGTTCCAAACACATATTTGGAAATGTTAACACAAACTCATGATCTCCTTTTCTATTGTTTAACATTGGAAAGAATTCACAAGATACAGTAAATCAAGTATAAACAATTTCTCAAGTAATTCACTAAATAACAATTGGCCATTCATTCCAAAGAGCTGGTTTCTATTTCTCAGCTGCACAAGAAAGCATTCTACTGATGGAATGAACTAACAGCCTCAGAAAAGGCCCTACAAATTATCAACAATAAGAGGCAACAAAAGGTTATATTTAAAAAGGACCCAGATTTTTATGTGAGCTCTGTCTCTACCTGGTAACCCTCAATTACCTTTCCAAGCCTCTGGTTTCTCGTCTATAAAATGCAGCATCAATCTCCCCAAGCAGTACCATGGAATCACTGAGATATGACATACATTGCCTAGCACAGTGACACAGTTAATAGTAGCTATCATTATTTTATCTAACACAATACAAAAATCTTTTTGAAACACCAATGATTATTTTACAAATCAACAAAAACCCAGAATCATCAGAAACAGCAAACAAAAAAAAATCAAAAGGCTGACCAGTGCCCAAACAAAATATAATAAGATATCTTGATGTTCATAATGGTTGAAAAGATTAAAATAATTATGTGGCAAAATATTGCACTTTCTCATTTCATTGCTGCCTCATGAATTATAAAATGCCTCATGAAAAAGATCTATATCCCCTTTATATCTGTTAGACTATTCCTTTAACCCTCCATTTAGAGCAATAGATTAGTGACTTGAGTTACCACATATCCTATGTATACAGATATAAATATAAATAAATCCACCTACCTACCTACTTACATTGTAATTTTTCTTGAAATATAGCTCGACAAACAAATTGCACAATAGCTTATTTTTAATACACTTTTGAGATACAAGGCAGTTGAATCTGCTGTTCAATAAAAAGAAAAATTATTCTTATTTGTCATAACTGCTTAGAAAAAAATACAATAATAGATTCTGTAGCAAGTGGGACTCTTTCCAGTAGAATTCCAACAATAAATGCAGAGTTCCCCTGAGATTAATAATATAATAAGAATTATTAAAAGTATGTGTACTTTTAAAAAATCTAAATCTAGATTAGATCTTAATAATTAAAAACTTAGGGACAGTCTCTAGAATGTACCACAGAAAAGTGTGATTTACAAATGACCTATTAGGCTTTATCTTATGTTTTACAGTCCTTAAGTAAAAATCGAGTTTTTTATCATTTGTCCAAAACAACTGTCACTGTGCTTGGGTCCTATATTCTCTAAATACCAAGACTTAACAGTTAGCACTTTTTTCCTTTTGCAGTATGAAATTATAAAGTTATTGCTAAAAACTTTCTCTGTATTTCTAATAAGCAACTATAGAATGGTGTGCTACTCACATTTCAAGGTTATGAATTTTGTTATAGAATAAAACTAAACTGAACAAGTAGCTGAAAATCACAAATTCTAATATATAACAAAAGACTCTTTTTAAATGTAACAATCAAAATCAACTCCCTTCTAAGGTATTAAAAAAGCAGAAATTTAGGTTTCTCATTTTAAAAAAGAGTCAAACTTACTTTAGTACATGCACTCTTTTCAACATTGCAAAAATAAATATAGCATAAAAAATTTCACTTTAGGTGGTTTTAGGCAACTTTTTAGTAAATATGCTTTCTTAGACATTTTTCTTATTGGTAGCAATTTACTCAAAGACAGGCTCAAATTAATACAGAGATATGCTATTTTTCATATAATTAAATTTTACTCCATGAATGCTACTCAGTGGTTTTTAGGATAAGATATGCTCACATACTTCTCATAGTGTAACTGATGTAACCTTTGTAAAACTATCAGGCAATATGGTCAAAAGCCTTCCAAAAGTATATCACCCATGATCAGTAATCTATTTCTTGAAATTGTTGCTAAAGGATAAAATCAAACATATATATAAGTTTTAGCAAAATATTATTCCTCTCACATTCTTATAAAACTTCTTAAAATGCACAAGTAGTATAACAATCTCCAATAAAAAAAGATAAAATAAATTATAGTGTCTATTAATAATATCATGCAGGCACTAAAAATGCTTTAAAAAATAACGTAATAATATGAGAAAATACTTAAATGAAAAAGATGGCACTATATAAAAGTATTATACCAATCTGTAAGAGTTAAAAAAGGCTACTAAGGGTATGTGTGCATGTTCGTAGGAATGTTAAAAGTAATATACTGATGGAATGAACTAACAGCCTCAGAAAGCAATAAAAGGAATAAAGTCCTAATACATGCCAGAACATGCCAAACAAAAGAAGCAGACACAAAAAGCCACATGTTATACAATTTCATTTATATGAAATGTCCAGAATAGACAAATGCATAGACAGAAAATAGACTAGCTGTTGCCAGGTGCTGGCTGAAGAAAGAAATGGGGGGTATAAGGGGTTTAGGTTTCTTTTGGGGATAATAAAAGTATTCTGGAATTGGACAGTGGTGATGGGTGTACAACCTTGCAAACGTACTAAAAACCAGTGAATTTTACATTTTAGAAGGGTGAATTTTATGGTATGTGAATTATATCAATAAAGAGTAAGAAAAAGTGATACACCTAAATAATATTAACAACAGTTATTTCAGTGGCAGTAGTGTGAATTATTCTTTATTAGTAACTGCATTTTCTAAAATTTGCGTGTATTAGTTTTATAAACAAAAACCACACTTTCCTCCTCTCTTCTGAATCATTGTCATCAATTACATATTAAAAAAAGAACTGTTACTTCTCCTACATATTACTCCAAAATCCACGTCTCCCCTTCCCCTCCTATCATCCTATATTTCTGATCCCCTTTACAAAAATTCACCGAAAGAGTAGTCCGTGTTCACGGTTTTCAAAACTTCTCCCCTAATTCTTTCTTACATATGTTCTAATCCCATTACATTAAGATGCTTATCAAAGTCATCAATGGCCTCTACACTGTTATATCCAATGGTCAAGTTCTTGGTCTGCTATCATTTGACCTATCAGCTACATTGGACAAAGCTGACCACGCTCACTTTCCTTGAAACACCGGATACAACGCTCCTAGTTTTCAGGCTGTCTCCCCAGTTGTTACGCTGTCTCCTTGACTTACTCAGCTGGAGTGGTTCAGAGCACAATCTTTGGAATTTTTCATTTTTCTATCTATAGTGTCTCTTTTCTATAGAAAACTCACTCACTTTTCTGGCCCCATAACTAAAATTCAGAAATACTTGTAACTAGTTCCTCCATCTTCTACCCAGCCCCCTATTTGTATGACGATGGGCTAAAGTTCTGATCTTGAGTCGGTAAGTCATGAATGAGGCTGGAGAGGGGAACTGCAGGTAATCTCTTCCTAGAAGTGAGAAAGAAGAGTACACATCTTCACATGCTCGGATTCCTCCAATTATCCTGAATCATGCTGATAAAACCAGTGCCAGCTAACTGACTAACCAACTAACTAAAGGTCAATGTCCTCTAAATCCAAACCATCCAGAGAAAAGCAGAGCCCCAAATCTGGCTCTGGTATTTGAGCCAGAATGAACAACTACCACTAGGTGGTGCCAACCCGTAGCCAACACTCAGATTTGGAGCATAGAACCTGGCCATCTCAAGTCCAAGCTGGCTAGCCACACAGGCTTGCCCTGTTAGTTTATGAACTTCATGATAACAAAACCCTACAACTGACATGACTAAATTTTTTGGTATTTATATACTGAAAACTCCCAATTTTAAAACCAGAACCCAGACTTCTTACCTGGAATCCAGACCTATCTAATTATCTACTACTTACTGCTGCTTAGAGGTCTGTCAGCATCTCATACCTGATATGCCCAAAACTGAACCCCCTATTTTACCCTGCCCTCATCTTGCTCTCCCCACCCCTAAATCTGCTTCTGCTCAGTCTTCCCCCTTTCAGATAACCAGGACTCCATGATCCTCATTGCTTAACCCCAAATCTTAGAGTCATCCATGACTACTATTTCTCTCACATGATATATCCAAATCTTCTATACACAGTTAGATTTACTTCTCACTACCCTGATCTCTGTTCTGAATTACTGCAATAATTTGCTAACTGGACTCCCCTTAAGAATATATTAAGTGGCTTCAGCCTTTGCCACTTAATATATTCTCAACATAGGAGTCAAGTGATTCTATTAAAATATAACAGATCATGCATGACACTCTTCTGTTCAAGACCTTTAGCAGTTCCAGATCTCACTGGAAATTAAAACCAAAATCTTTAAAGTGGCTACAAGACTATACAGTTTGTCCCCTCACTTACTCCACACCAACCACACTAATTCTCAAACCTGACAGGCCTGTTCCTACTTAAGGACTTTTAGAGGGAGCCCCCTTCCCCTCAAATATCTTGATAACGCATTCCTTCATCTCCTTATTGTCTTTGGTCTCAGTGAGGCTTACCTGCAACTGCTCTACTGAAAGTTAAAATTCCCCAGCCCCACCACCTCCCTATCCTCTGTCTCTATTACTATATATAATTAGACATATTCTAGAATAATTCCACACAAATAGTATAAAAGTTACATGAGGGTCAAAATTTTTGTCTTTTGTTCACTGATTTATTACCAGTACTTACAATGGTGCTCAGCATGTAATGAGTACTAGATAATATGTTACATGTTAACTATGTGGGAAAACATTATATGATAGAAACAAGTTATTAACCTACATGAAAGCAAAACAGTACAGCATTAAAAGCAAAATTCAAAACTAGATTTCAATTATAGGACTGCCACTTTGTAGCTGTGTGACTCTGGGCAAATTTCTTTATAACTTCTCTCTAAGCCATGATATATTCATCTGTAAAATGAGAATAACAGTATTAACATTAAATGCTTACAGTAAAGATTAACTGGGTGAATGCATACGAAGGCTGAAAAGAAGACCTAAACCAGGGTTTAACAAACCAAGGCCCATAGGAGCCATGTAACACAGCCATGCCCGCTCATTTATGTGTTATTTATGGCCCCTTTCACTCTACAATGTAGAGCTGAGTAGTTGTGAGAGACCAAACAGCCTAAAAAGCTATCTGTTTGAGAAAAAGTTTACCGACCCCTAACCTACACAACAGTATGCACTCAGTAAATGTCAGACATCATTTCTCTGTCAATAGTATCTGCAAGAGTAGGTTTATGTGTATTAATTCTTAACCTGCCACACTACAAAATTCTTACTTGTACATGGTGCTTTCCAGATATAAAGTAAAAAGATATATGACCCCTAAATGCACTAGACCTTCTGAGATCAATAACTAGTTTTTCAGACATTTTGATAATTAAATATTAGAGAAAGGGATATGTAATTCTCAAACCAATCAATTCACCTTTACTTTTTATGAGAAGATAGATAGTTCCCATATCATACAGTATGTTTAAGAGTATGGGGGGGGTAGGTTGGCAGGGATGACCCACAAAAGCAAATAAACAATGGGGTACTACAATTCTAAGAAAACAGGGTTACGATGATAAACTTAAAATTCCAACTACCAGAAACAAAATACACTTGTAAGAACTGAACCTGTATTAACAGGAAAATGCCATAATTTAGTGATCTATTTGTAATGTCATAAATAAGTTTCATAATTAATTACAGGCAATGTATCAGCCTGCCTGCCTACCAAACATCACTAACAGGCTAATAACACACAACGCTGAGACCAGGGAAACAATTTTCTGTCTCACTATTACAAGCTGGGATAATCTCCACTTGAAAATCAGGATGACAATATCTATCCTTTAATGTTTGAATAAAAATTGAACATGAAAATGTGGCAGTTCTTTTAAAAAAAATAACTCCAAGATAATCCAAAATACTCATTTATAATGGAGTTGTATAAGGAGGGAAAAACTCACTTAAAGACAAAATTTCTATTAAAAATCTACTTATAGGAGGCAGGCACCATGTTGGTAGCAAACGTACAGTTTCTCAGAAACTCCAACAGCAAAAGTTATTCCTCATTAAAACATATTGTTGGACAAGACATGAAGCAGTTGGCATTTAGAGATCATACTAAATGGAAAATAACAGCTTTACATATTAGGTTATCACTAAGCTGGGCAAGATACTCTGACCAGCTAGAGCAACAGCAGATTCTTATCTCCCATTTCATGCTCACCCCAGGGCATATGCTCATAAAATTTCTCTCTTCGTGTTTAGATGGCAAAAAACACGTACAACTGAATTCCAGAAAGTTAAAAGTACTTACAGCACTGTATTACTGTTATCCTAGTAAATAAGTTTAATTTCTTTTTTAAAAAAAACATACTAAATTATTATAAACTTCTGACAAAATGTGACCAGCATATTCTACAAATGCACCCTGGTCACCCCACTACAGAATGTCACCGTAAGGTATAATGTTCTTACCTTGTTCCTCACTTCCTTCCTTGCAAAGACTAGAGCTCTGGCCCAGACTTAAACTGATATCATCAGAAGTCTTAGCAGTGTCTGTATCTCCTACAAAGTTAAAGAGAAACATGTGAAGACACTATATTAAAAGTAACAACTATACAGTGTGGCATAACAAGGAAGGACATCAAGGAGTACAGTAAATACCTCCTATATTAGTTTACCACATACTGTATTGGTATACTATATCTACTAAAGCAGTAGCCTATCCAGCCACATAATTATTCTAATAGCAGTATAAACCAAATAATATGGAAAGCTTCATATCGTTAACTAATAAACCTATTTCTTTAAAAAAAAAAAAAAGCAGTTTAAAAAGAAAAAGATTATGTAATAACTTGAAACACTATAAATTTCTTTCCCAGGGCAAATTAGTAAGCTAAAAAATCATAGGGTAAAAATAATATAATTTATCTGAAATATACAAAATAAAAGGCATATATCAGATGTGTAGAAAAACATTTACCATTTTTTAGCATCTCATTTGTAGCCAATTTAAGGGTTTCACATTAAATCACTCAGTTTTCCATGAACCCCACTAAAACCCACGATATATTTTCCCTCGAGGCAAGGAAGTTTCTTATAGATCAAAATTTATAATTCATGCAATGTAATGAAAATGGTCAACTACTTTTGTGAAATTTGGGTGATGAAAAGGGAACACAATATAAACCAAGTAGCCTTTAACATAAGATACATAATTTTAACTACAAAATAATTTCAAGAACAATTTTTCATTACATGTGGACATGAAACGCTGTTATCTTTATTACAACCAAAAATGAAATGGCAAGTCAGAGACAACTTTCAAGTTAGATCACATCTACCTTTAATAGTTGCTGCTGTTCCAAGACGAGAGGAACCAGATCCAATCTGAAAACATGACATGAAACAAGTAAAACTAACTAAAATGCTCTTTCTGTCACTGTCAATGTACACTAGCAAGATAATCAAATAAAATTATTATAGTATCACAACATACTATCAGTCACTTTTATCCCCATGAAAAGATGCCGCGCAGGCATTTTCACAGCAGAGTCACAGACCCGCCCGCTGGGGCACAGGCTGTGTCTGCATTATCGGTGTGCTGGGGGGGTGGGGACACGGAGGCGCCGAACCCCTCTGCGCGCTCAGGACTCAAGCAGCTCCCCCAGCCCCCGGCAAGAGGCCCCCCACCTCCAGCAAGTTATGTCATACTATTACTGTCATTTTTTATATTGCATCATGACATGTTCATGTTATAAACAAAAGCAAAATTAGGTGTTGAGTCTATCTGAAATAAATTCAGACTTGTCAGGATATATAAAGAGAAGGTTCTGAGGACAAAGCAATTATTTGTCACAAAAAGCAAACTAAATCTTCAACTGCCAAATTGTTAATGTCAATACATACTTTTCTCAGTTCCAGACAAAAAATAAGTAAGTACCTCTTTTAAACTGTTATATTTAGAAAGAAAAACTAAGGCATCCATGAAAAATGAATTTTTAGCACAAACTATATAAACAGAAAACTAAAATCTACTAAACTTTTAGTGCTTATATTAAAGATGGTGTCACATTTCCCTAAAATTTCATAGCCATCATTTATTATACTATAAAAATTATATAAATAAATACCACAAATTCCACAAACACCTTAAGGAAACAAAATATAACAACATGACAGTTACCAAATTAAGTCTTGGCCAATCTTTCTATAATCTGTGATCAAGGGAGCCAAGAAGAAAACACTCAAGCAAATTTAACATCTTAGAATAAGTTAAGAACTTTCCAATACTTGATTAAATCTATCCTTTTATTGATTCAATGGAACAGAAGTACACAATACGAAACTTGCTCAAAGGCCTGGCTGGTGTGGCTCAATGGACTGAGCGCCAGCCTGAGAACCCAAAGGTCGCCGGTTTGATTCCCAGTCAGGGCACATACCTAGGTTGTGGGTCAGGACCCCAGTAGGAGGCACACAAGAGGAACCACACATTGATGTTTCTATGCCTCTCTTTCTCCCTCCCTTCCCCTCTCTAAAAATAAACAAAATCTTTAAAAAAAAAAAAAAGAAAAGAAAAAGAAATTTGATCAAAATATTGGTTAATACTGAATCTGAAGGGGCATGGAGGAATTTCTTCATCCGGATGGCAATTAAATTGGTATATGTTTATATATATAGTATGTGCATGTGTGTAAAAATCCACTGAGCTGTACACTTAAGATATATATACTATGCTATATAAAACCTATATGGCAGTAAAAATAAGCATATACAAACATGTTACAACTACTAATAAATTCTTGATATAGCGAATAAAAAATGAGCCTTGCAATATTTTTAACTCTTTATTAAGCAGTATGCTCAGGAAAAAATTGTACTTAATGTGAAAACTCAGTTAAAAATATCAATAAAAGATATTAATAAAACAATGCAAAAATTATTAATAAGCAAGATAAACCCAAATACCAAATGACTATTACAGACAGGAGAATTCCTGAGATCCCTATCAAGAGGAGGCGAAAAGGCAAAATAACATCATACAGGTTTCTACCTGGTTACTTGGATCTAGGCCAGCATAAGAATTTCTTGAACTGCAGCCAACTGGTGGTGTGGCCTCTCGAATGAACTCAGACATTTCAATCCCTCCACCAGGATCGCTGTTGAAAAAAATGAGAAAAAGAGAGTAACTGCCATTATTCCTCCACCAATGGTTTTCTTACTATTTTTTTTCCTAAGTAAAGAGGTTCTGATTTTTAATAGAGCACATGGCAAAAAACAAAGGTCATTCTTCATTTATAATTCTAATAATTTGAACTATTTTATAAACACATCACTACCTGAAAATATTTTTAAAAACTCTCCCAAACTGTCCACACTAAATCCAACATCAGAAACCGATCTTAATTAGAATTGTAGCATACTAAATATGGCACATATTTTATGATATGGGTCGTACACACACTAGAGCCAAGAAATGATTTGCCTTTTGCTTCCTAAGAGCAAAGATAAATTGGTCATTGTAAATACAGAAAGTAATCAGATCTTATGGTACCACTCTGAGGAGCAGTCAGACTGAGCTGCATGACACAATGATGAACATGCAAGAGAACAGTTGTCCTGATAAAGCTGTTTGTACCTGTATTTTTCAAGTTAACAGTACTTAACTGGAATACAAACTTGTTTACAGAACTGGAAACCTAAACTTTTAGAATTCTGTGAAGGAGTTAGAAGGCTTAAGTTACATAAAATGACACTCACTATATAGTAACACGAAGTACTAGAGAAAAGAGATGAAAAGTTCTAGGTTCGAAGAACTGAGGAGGTTCACATATAGTACTTAAAGAGAATGGGATTCCCCCAAATTAGAAAAAAAAAAGAAAAAGATCACACCATATTTTTAAAACTTATAAAGTTTTAAAATAAAGTCCCTTAGGAACACAACTTTTAGAACAACTCAGGCCTAAAAGTTGTCATAGTCCTATTTTTTGCCCCAAGTTTTTTACTTATTCTCTATCTGGTATATACAGGGTAAGCACTCAATAAAATGTTTAGCTATTACTCTCAAGGAAAAAAGTTCAGTATATATGCTAGGTATTATAGTGGACATGAATTGTCTTGCCATCCAGCACCTAATTCAACCTCCACAACAAAAGAAACAAGAAAAAGCAACCAAAATTCTTCTGGTGAACCACCCTTTCCCAAACTCTCACATGATTTTGGGTGAGACTGACCCCATCCTCGGGTTTATAAGTGAGTGCTACTAACCAAACAAAGTCAACTAGCACATCCTCCTCTCTTGGTCATAGAGTTCAGTTCTAGAATAAGTACATGGCCCAGCTCAGGTCAGCATGAATCAGGCCAGGAGTGTTCTACTGTTGAAAGAGGAAATTTCTATCTGCTGAGAAGACTTAATGGTGAAGGAAGCACAACTATGAAGTGACTGTTTGAAACCACACCTGGACACGTTTGAAGACATCCCTTACATACAGATTTTCAGTAACGTGAGCCATAAATTCTCTTGGCCTGTGTGGATGAGTTATTCTAACAGCTGCAATCAAAAGATGCAGGCGAAATATAATTTGCTTACAAGTGTAGCTTCCATTTAGACATTTATTACTGTATCAGTTTGAATTCTAGTTTGTTTTATTAACGGTTTCATAACTATCATGTCACTTCACCCCCTTTGCTTAAGGAGTTCCTAACTCTAGGCCACCAATAATAGGTAATGTTCAATAAGCAAAATTAGCTTTTTAACTTGCTATCCATTTATAAAAATAAAACATATTAAAACTCAGTTACAAATTTTATGACCAGCCCTGACCAGTGTGGCTCAGTTGGTTGGGCATCGTCCTGCAGAGCAAAAGGTCACCAGTTTGATCCCCAGTCAGGGCACTTGCCTGAGTTGTGGGCCCAGTATGGGCACATGCAAGAGGCAATCATTTGATGTTTCTCTCACAAACCGATGTTTCTCCCATAAATCAGTGTTTCTCCCTTCCCCTCTCACTAAGAATAAATAAAATTAAAAAAAAAATTTGATGACCAGTTCAGCATAAAAATGTCCCATGTATGAAAAGTAGAACATGCACAAGTTTGTTCATTGTTTGGTGTTAACTCACACAGGATATACCAGTCAGAATAAGGAATGTTTTTCTAATTTGGCAAAACCTTAGTTGAGGACACAGAGACAGCAATCACGACACTGAAATGGTGATGAGTAATAACCAGCAACACTGCTGCTATCCCCTCTGGAATACATTCTCTAAGTCAGATTCCATAAAAATCTGAAGATGGAAAGCAAGGTAAAGATAACGGAATAAAATATACCAGAAAAAGAAATGAGAGCCCCTCATCCTGCCTAGTTTATATACATCAGTTTTACTGATACACATATCATGGGTCATTCATTTAAACTCTGCAATTCAATAGGTTTTAAGTATATTCAAGTTGTGCAACCATCACCATAGTTAATTTTAGGATATTTTTACCCTCAAAAACAAACCCCTTTAGCTATTACCATCCCCCCCACCCTTCCTATCCACCTAGGCCTAAGTAGCCTCTAATCTACTTCTTGTCCCTATAGATGCCTATTCTGGGTATTTCATATAAATGGAATCATTATGAGGTCATTTATGACTGGCTTCTTTTATTTAGCATAATGTTTTCAAGGTTCACCCATGTTGTAGCATGTATTAGTATTTTATTCCTTTTTATGCCCTAATAATATTCATTTAATGGATAAAATACATTTGCTTATTTATCCATCAGTTGATAGACAATCTTGCCCAACTTTATTCATCATTTCTGACACAAATCCAAATTTACTACAATCTGAATGTAAATTAGTAACAAATGAAAGCAAATATTTAAAGGGACTTACGCACATGGGCAACAGTGCAGGGATTATGGGGGGGGTGAGGGGCATATAAGGGGAAGAAATGCTAATGGAAAAAATATAATAAAGATTACATTAAAAAATAGTAAAACACAAAACAAGCAAATATCTACTAAGTAATTAGTACATTTCGGTCATGGAGCATGTGCTTTATTTTGCATTTTCTCATGAAATATTCGCTCAGTCCACTAAGCCACACCAGCCAGGGCTGGGCCACGTAATTCTTGATTACGGGGATCATCCTGCGCACAGCAGCACCCTAACCACCATACACTAGACGCCAGGACCACTCCCCCTAGTCGTGATAAGAAGAAATGTCTTCAAATGACTGCCAAATGTCTCTTGGGGGGTAAAATCGTCCCTGATTGAGAAACAATGATCTAAAACTAATGCTCAATGACCAATACTGAAGAGGAAGGAAGTATAAAGAAAGCAACAAAAGATGAAGAAAACAATTGATGACTTTTGTTTAAAAAAGATCTCTAGCAAAATTAATGTACCTGTCTCTTCTCTACAGGTTCAGAACTAGAACTTTTAGTCAGTCATAGGTGTCCTAAATACAGCTAAACATATAGAATGGCTGAGTAAGAATTTCCTTTATTAGCAAGCACTGCAGAGTTTTAGCAATGGAGATTTCAGCACATACCTGGAAAGTATCATAGTTTACAATTCTCACAGAAGCAAAATTGTCTACTTTAGTAAGCAATACACCACATTCAAGGGATCTCTACCTTTATGCCTTAATTTCCCCATCTGTTTTTTAAAGATTTTATTTACTTATTTTTAGAGTGAGGGGAAGGAAGGGAGAAAGACGGAAAGAAACATCAATTTGAGAGACAAACATCTATCAGTTGCCTCTCATATGCACCCCAACCCAGACCGAACCTGCAACCCAGGCATGTGCCTTGACCAGGAATCTAACAGGTGACCTTTTGGTTTGTAGGGTGACACCCAACCACCTGAGCCACACAGGTCAGGGCAATTTCCCTGTTTGTTAAAAAAGACACCATATACAGGGCAGAGCATAAATGCAGAAGGGTAGATTCTAATTAAAGGAGACTTCAGGAACTGATTTGTTGACTTTAGTGCCCTTACCTGCTCAGGCTTTAATCAGAAACATCACAGTACCATCTAGCACTAAACTGACAAATAAAAACTAGATTACAATGATGTTCATAAACATATGAATAGGTAAAAACAAAGTCCCTCAACAAAATAAATCTTCAGAAAACTTAGCCCAAAATTCACCTACACAGTTTAAACAGATCCTTAATTTAAAAAAGACAAGCATTACTGCCATGAGAGAGAAAATACGGTGTCTCCTAAATATTTGTATTCAAATCATAAAGCTCAAATGTGTAACTTCCTCTCCAGAAACCTTAGTAATGCAAACATTAATGACTTTGGCTCCTTCTCTAAAATAAAAATTTAATAAGCATTTTTAAACTGTTGCACCCCAGCCAATGAAAATCTTCAGGTTCAAGCAGTCCTACCGTATTCATCCATTCATGAGACAAACTGACAGCTATAATGTACCAAGCACAGAGAAAGGCTCTGGAAATAAAAGTGTATATTTTCTTGTTCATTTCTTTTCCTCAGGAAAGAAAATGTGACAGCATAGTGGGATGGTGGGGAAAGGGAGATGTCAAAAACAAAAGTCTACAACAAAGATTCTATTTGATGGTGAAACTTAAAAACATTCACTTTCAGATTAGAAAAAGACAACGATGTACACTAATACTATTTCAATTTAACCATGTACTAGAAGCCACAGCCAATGTAAAAGTTAAATAAGAAGTATAAGGACTGGACAGGAAGAAATAAAACATCATCCACAGAAAATCAAGATATAACCTATGAAGTTTCATTGTTGATACGGGGATTTAATAAGGTTGCTGGATACAAAGTGAACTGCTACACTGACTTAAAGGGAGAAAAACTGAAAAATTATAAAAAATTTTTACAATAGCAGAAACAGTATAAAATAATTTGGAAAATTTAACAAAAGCCATGGAAGCCTTTAAATGGAGAATTGATAAATCTTTACTAACTTATTAAAGAATAAATAAATAAATAAATGGAGAGATTCAATATGGTAAAGATATCAAGTCAATATAATTCCAGTAAAAATCCTAAATTCTTGCAGACTTTTCCCAGCAGACTCTAAAGTTTATATCAAAGAGCAAAGAGCCAAGAATAGCAAACTCACTCCTGAAAAATAACAAAGCAGCAGGTTTGTCCACAAGATATCCAATGTTCTAAAGCCAGTTATCAGGACAGAGTGGTAACAATGGCACAGGCATAAACAAACAGATCAACAGGGCAGAACAGACAGCCCAGAAACATACCCACCATATATGGAAACTTAATTTATGACAGAGTGAGTACTGCAGAGCATCAAGGGGAAGATAGTCTCTTTAACAAATACTAATTAAACCAGTTATTCATGAAGAAAAAGACAAGTTTTGAGTCTCTATCTGATACTGCAGATTAGAATAATTTCCAGTAGAATTGAAATGTAAAACGGAAAGTGAAACTTTGAAAAAACAATATAGGAGAATAACTCTCTGATCTATGCAGAAAATAATTTCATATACAAGACACAAAAATGCTAATTACAAAAAAGTGGTATCTTATATGAAACTTAAGAATGTATAGGCAATCATAAGAAACCTTAAGGAAAGTGAAACCACAAGTCACAAACTTGAAAAGATGTCTATAATGTGTATGATAATCTGAATGGCTATCAAGAGAAGAATGGATAAGTTGTAGACTACTCCCACAATGGTAGACTATACAATAGTAAATACGAATAAATAATAGCTATAAGAATCAGCATGGCTAAATCTATAAAATACAACATTCTGCACACACAAAAAAGCCCCTTCTCCAGAAATACATATTGCATGATTCTCTTTAGAATGTCCTGAGGCAGACAAAATTTAATATATGTTTAGAAATATCTACAAAGACTGTATAACAATAACAAAAGCAAGGGAATACTAACACAAAATTTAAGATAATGGTCACTCCTGAAAGTAGAATGAAATTGTAAAGGAATGCATGAAGGCTTGTGTGGTGTTTGTATAATGTCCTATTTCTCAAGCTTTGCATGGGGTAAATATTCACTTGATTACTATTTTCTAAATTATACATATCACTGATACATATTTCAGAACAGAAACTTTTTAAAACTAAAAGAAAAAATTCGGTAACAAAAGCAATCAAAAATACAGGGTGGGGCAAAAGTAGGTTTAGTTGTGAATATACAAAATAGCTTATTCTTGTATTATTTATCAATTATTGTTATTTGCCATATAAACTATAAATCTACTTTAGCCCTAACCCATATACACAATATGCAGAAATGTTAAGATCTAACAATTATTGAGTGGTTATTGTGCATCAGGAATTGTTCTAAATGCTTTATCTGTATTATTCTCATTTTTTCTTGTAATAATCCTATGAGATAGTACTATTATTTGTCTCATCATTCAGGTGAAGAATCCAAGGCATACAAAGCTTAATAACTCCTCCAAGGACATACAGTATTAGGAAGTGATTCAAACCCCCACAAATAAAGTGCAGAGTCTACATTCTGTTTGCTCACCCACTACACCTGGGTATGCATTTCCTAATAAAAATAGAATAGACTTAAGAAATACTTGGAACCAATCAGAAAGAAAAAAAGAAACTGAAGTTTTATGAGACATAAAAGACAATTAAATAAGTGGATATACATACCATGTCCCTAGATAAGACTTCCTATTTAAAGGTTACAGTCTCTCCAAATTTAATATAAATATCATTAAAATTCTCATGGAACTTTCTGGAGATAAGCACACAGGCAGACAATCTCACAAAAAACTAAGCAAGTATATGCATGGGTATAACCCATGTAAATTGAAAAAATATTTTTTGAAGAGGGATTCACACTACTAAGTGTTAAACACATTAGAAAGCCAAAGAAAGCACTATGGTATAAGGAAAAAAGACAGAAAGGTCAATGGGTCAGAAAACAAAACCTAGAAATTGATATAAGTATGTTATATAAAAAATAAAGGATTTAAAAATACTGTAGAAAAAATTTATTATTTACTAAATGGTGTTGGGACTAATAAACCTAAAAAAGAAAATAAATTAGAATGGTTTCAGACAGTTGAAATTTAAGAGTGAAAAAGAAGAATACTGAAAAGTAGACGTGAATATTTATATAATCTGAGATAAGAAAAAATTTCACAAAACTTGATATATCAAAGACACAACTAATAAACATACACAGAGTAGATCACACAAAAATAAACTGTGGCCCTGGCTTGTGTGGCTCAGTGGATTGAGTGCTGGCCTGTGAACCAGAGGGTCACCAGTTCGAGTCCCAGTCAGAGCACATGCCTACATTGCGGGCAAGGTCCCAAGTAGAGGACATTCAAGAGGCAACCACAAATTGATATTTCTCTCCTTCTCTATCTCCCTCCCTTCCCCTCTCTCTAAGAATAAATAAAATCTTTTTAAAAAAAGAAAAAAATAAATTATGGCATATAAATAAGTAAAATGCCATCGACAAGTATTTGACATAAGAGATAGTTAATATCCTTCATAAATAAGTATCTTCTCCAAATCAATAGCAAAAAAAACTAACCACCATTAGAAAGACAACTGACCAATAACACAAGAAAAACACCTCCATTTCACTGGTAATCCACTGAAAAACTAAACAAGCTATCACAGTTTTGTCAAAATCTGAAACACTGTGTTATCAAAAGTACAAACAAAAAAAGCCCTCAAACTGCTCGTCATTGTAATTACAAGGTAAAATCTTTGGAATTTGGCAATATACACTGAAAATCTTAAAAATGGGTATAGCTTTCTAGTAATTCTAAATTATTATTAAAATTTAATTATTTAAAATTTAAACATCATAGTGATCAATATTTGAATTTGAAAATAATTGTAATAATTAAAAACAATATATTAAATATGGTATACCAACAAAATGGAAAACTATGTAGTCTAAAATAGTATCACAGAAAAAGAAATGGTTTCACTATTTCAAATATTTCATTAGTACCTATCAGTGTCAGATGCTATTTTAGAGCCTGAGAATATAACTATTTATAAGAAAAACCAGGCTCCTGCCTCAAGAAGTTTATAAATATTGTACAAATAAATGATTAAGATAATTTCAGATAGTGATTAATGCTATGAAGACGATTATTATAAGCATAAATTATCTGTTCAATGAACAAACAGGGTAATCATGATAGGGATGAAGAAAATTATGAGGGGGGACCCCCCCCAAAAAAACAATTTACTTTAAAAAATTGTGTATTTATTCTTACACGTTTAATCTTCAGTCACTTTCAAAGTACTCTCCATTGGATGCAATACACCTATCGAGACTTTTTTCCACTGCTCAAAACGGTTTTGAATCGTCGATTTTGATGCCTTTTTAGTGCTTCTGCCATTTTATTGTTTCACCTCTTTCACACTGGCAAAACATTCCCCTCTGAGGACTTTTTTATCCAAGGTAACAAAAAAAGTCACTCGGGTAACAAAAAAAGTCACCCAAGACTGGGTGAATAGGGAAGGTAGAACATGCCTTTTTGGGTCAGAAGCTGCTTAACACTCAGCATGATGTGGGCAGGTACGTTTAGTGTGGGCAGGTGCATTTGTAAATCGCCCATCTTGATACGGGCAAACAGGCTGAAAGAGTCTTCGGGGAAAAAAATTCACTGAAGCCAAACGCAGCCTCTCACAACACCGGCTGGCACACTGATGCAGCTGGGTCCCTAGAACACTCACCTAGTGGGGAAGCCTGTGCTACAACGGGCCTAAATGCTCCAGAAGATAATTCCGGGGTTTTTTTAGTCCCCCTTCATATATTTTAAAAAGGATAAATGACTTTCACTGGACTGGAAAATATACAGAAACACTACCTGTCTTACAGCATTTCTATCTTGATACCTGAAATACTTCGTATTATAATGAGTGGAAACATTGCATAGTGGTTAAAAGCATAGGCTCCAGATCTGACTCTAGATCTTTCTCACCTTAGTTTCCACATCTGTAAGTCAGGAGAAATCACAATATCTACCTCAGAACTGTTTTGAAGACTGAACTTTTGGATGTCAACTGTTCACATAAAAACTGTTTTTTAAGTTATACTGGTGGTAATCATTTCTATAAAGTCACAATAAACTTTTGACTATGGATAAAGTCCCTCTATCACACAGACACAGTGGGTGAGGCCAAGATACTGCAAGGGAATGAGACCCCTGGGAAGAATACTAGAGCTGCGACGGAAAAGGAAGCCTCCCGGAGGAGGTGACATTTACACAGATTTGAACTCCAAGAAGTCAGTTATGTAAAGATCTAGGGACAGAACAGCTAAGTTTCTAAGGTGAGAATAAAACAATTGAAAAATACTTACCAACAGAATAAGTAAAACATGCAATTATAAATATGAAATAAAATATTATAATTTACTAAAGATATGTATTTTTAACTTACATGTATAAATATATAAATACTAAGATTTATAAATCACACTTCATTATTTCTTTAGACTTTTTCATTGACTTTGATCTTTGGTGTGAATAATTATTATACAACTGTAAGTACTGTAATTCCAACATGTTATTTAGTAGTAAGGCTAAGGGCATTGGTTTAATCCCCCAGTTGTGCCAGTTAGCTTTGCTGTGATCTAATGTGACAATCTGTACTTGTCACTGTATCCATAGTGGTAAAATCTGTCACTGCCTTAAAACCACATAAACAGAACAGGCACAACACAATAATCCCATCACTATACACAAGCAAGATCTACATCATTACAAACTCAGTGACACGGGTTTCTTTACCTCGGTCCATTGCTGTCTTTTCTCCTCGTTGAACAGTTGCCTTGCTCAGCTTTGGCTCGCTGATCTGTGAACTCATTTGTGTTCCTATCTACAATTTCTCCAGCATCAAGTGCTCTGTGGAGTCGATAGTTGACCATCTTCAGAACAATGAAAACAGCAGCTATCACAGGACAATAAACTGCTACTATAATCATGGAAGAAGGAAGGGCCTTTAAGAGAAAAAAAATAAGACATGCATTTTTAAATATCTTGTATTTGATTGAATTAAAGAATCTGAAAATTTTATAAAAATCCATACATATCAGGTTTAAAAGTACTTAGAAGTATTTGTCAGATAGCAAGTATTTAAAATGAGTACTAAATTTATAAATGCAATTTAAATTAAAAGGATCTTAAGCCATATTTCAAAAACTAAATTGCTTAAAAATGATTGTTAAAAATGTTTTCAATCTGTAAAGACTTTAAATTTTTAAGTTGTTTAATTTGTAGCATTAATAAATCTAACTTTCATTGTAAAATTTAAAAAGTGCCCTGTATAACCTTTGCTAAGCAGAAAATATAACTACACACACACACACACACACACACACACACACACACACACACTCATTTCAAATTAACAAAAATTTCAAAGTAAACACAAATAGGAACACATATATATTGCTCATAGTATGTACAAAAAGTCTGCATAGTGCTCATTTACATATGATATTATCACATGAGAACTAGAATTCTTGGCGATCATTTAACTCAAAACCCTCATTTCCACACAGAAAACTGAAGACCTACTAACTCTGAATGGCTTAGCCACAATCACCATCTTAATAACAGCTGAACGACAAAATTAAGCAAGTTTCTTATGCCTATGCTGCTCAAGTTTCACTCTATACCACAATACCAATTCCATTTTCAAATGTAAAGTGTTAATGAAAATACAAGTCAGGGTTCCATCACTATTCGCCGGTAGTCCATATTAAGATTAAAATGATTGATTACATTAATTAAGTGGCTAAAAGGAGAGCAACCTCCATTACTCTTCAGAGTGGCAGATAAATTCAATGGAAATGTTAATGGCCCCTCCACAGGGGAAAAGATAAAAGAGACTACTTAATATTGAATGGTCTCTCGTATTTGCCTCTACAGAAGAGTCAAAGATTATGAATGCTTAAAAGAGATCTAAATAAATCCTCCCTACCACTATATTGTCAAAAGGAGTAGGTGAGTGTCAAGAAACACACTTAAATACATAGGGTCTACATAGTTAAGTACAGACTTTTTTTAAAAAAAACACTGAATATTGAAAGGACTGAAAACAAAAAAAAAAAAATTAAGTGATCATTTTATACAGGAAACCAGTATCAAATAATTAACACTTGCATTGTCTATTCAAACTACAGACGGTACTCATTTATTTTATACTGTGTGGTTTGAATACTTAAAGCCCTGTCAGCGGTTACTCTTGAGGTTCATAGGTGACAGGGGACAGCTGTGCTACAAGTTTCACTTTTCCCAAAGGGGGTAAAGTGCACAGACACACTGGGCTGTTGTGTGACTTTGTTCTCTGTTTGTTCTCTACTCTACTTGCATTACCTCACTGGACTCTCAGCTGATCCCAGCATGACTGACAACATTATTATCGAGTCATAAATGAATCATAAACCTTCCCTGTAACTGTGCTTAACCATTTAAAAGATGTCTGCATTTAATAAATAAACAAAATCTTTAAAAATAAAAAAAGCCCTGGTTGGTGTGACTCAGTGCACTGAGTGCCAGCCTACAAACCAAAATACTGACAGGCAGGTTCCCAGTCAGGGCACATGCCTGGGTTGTGGGCCAGGTCCCCAATAGGGGGCATGTGAGAGGCAACCAAGTGATGTTTTTCTCATGCATCGATGTTTCTCTCCCCCTCTTTCTCCCTCCCTTACCCTCTCTCTGAAAATAAATAAAATCTTTTGAAAAAAAGAAAACATGTCTGTATTTACAGTTTCAGTAGTTCCCTAAAAATCAAACACCAAAAAACTAGAAACTAGTCAGGTCACCTATTTTTTAGTTTCATGAATTATATACCAAAGAGCAAACCCAATAGTATTTACTATTTGCTTTTACATTTTATTAAATTAGAGATATCAACACTGAGTTTTCAAAGAAAGATTTTCAGAATCCCCATTATCAACAATCAGCATCTCATGGAAAAACAAGTTCTTTTTTCTGAAGGAAAAAATTTTAACAAGGTAAAACTGTTTATATGTTTCTGTTAAAAATAGAATTTTTGTATCCCATTCAACAACCCAATTCTATATAAAATACCTTTTGATTTTTTTTTGGCAGGTGCTTCCTGACTTAAGGTTAATTATGTTCCCTAACAACAAAAAGTGCTAGTATTTCATAAAGAACATCTTTTGTCTTCTTAGGTTATATTTTATTGTATATGTCATCTTTAAGTTAATGCTGGCGCAACCAAGCACGTTAGCTGCCCTCTGATAATAAAGGCCAATCTATCCTATCTTCATATAAACATCTATCATTACAAATCGCTTATACAGAAATGGTTTTACTTCTTTCCTAGGACACCACAAACAGTGAACAGCAGAGAATGAAGGTGGTGTAGCAGGTGGTATAATACTGATGGAAAAACAAGGCCCTCATTAAATATCTAGAAAGGTCACAGCACTGCAAGCTCAAAATAAAGACCTGTGGTCATCACAGACTTCAAGTATTCTTCTCATACATCTTAAAACTGTATCTCACAGCAAAAGATTATAACATTATAACAGACAAGCTGGATATTTTTTCAGTTCAACTATGCTATAATTAGTTAACTTCTTGATTTCTCAGATTTCCTTATCATGTAATCATACTCAGACATTTGGACTAGTTCAGTCAGAAATCAATGATCTGCAAATGAACAAAACAGAGGCCCCAGGAATAAACCCACATCAATATGCTCAAATGAGGCAAGAATATACAATGGGTATAGACAGTGTATTCCATAAATTGCACTAGGAAAATTGGCCAGACACATGCAAAAAAATGAAACCAGACCACCTTCTTACACAAACACAAGAATAAACTCAAAATAGATTCAAGACTTAATTGTTAGACTCGAAACCATAAAATTCCTAGCTCTTAGCAATATGTTTTCTGATATAGTTCCTTGGGCAAGGGAAACAAATGAAAAAATAAACAAATGAAACTAAAAGTTTTTGCACAGCAAAGGAAACCATCAACAAAATGAAAAGACAGCCTACTGAATGGAAAAAGATATTCACCAATGATACATCCAATAAGGAGTTAATACCCAAAATGTATAAAGAACTCATCACTCAACACCAGAAAAACAAACACTCCAATTAAAAAATGGGCAGAGGACCTGAATAGACTCTTCTGCACAGAGGCCATACGGATGGCCAACAGATATATGAAAAGATGCTCAACATCACTAATCATCAAAAAAATGCAAATTAAAACCACAATCAGGTATCACCTCACACCTGTCAGAATGGTTATCATCAATAAATCAACCAACAGTAAGTGTTAACGAGAATGTGAAGAAAAAGAAACCATCGTGCACAGTTGGTGGGAATGCAGACTGGTACAACCACTGTCAAAAACAGTACGGAGCTTCCTCAAAATATTAAAAATGGAACTGTTTTATGACCCGGCGATCCCAATTCAGGGAATATACCCAAAGAAATCCAAAACACTGATTCAAAAGAATATATGCATCCCTTTGTCCACTGCAGCACTATGTACAATAACCAAGATCTGGAAGCAGCCCAAGAGCCCATCAGTAGATGAGTAAAAAAGCTGTAGTACCTTTACACAACGGAAGACTACTCAGCTGTAAAAAAGGAAATCTTATATTTTGCAACAACATAGATGGATCTGGAGAGTATTATGCTAAGTGAAATAAGCCAGTCAGAGATTTAGCAGTGTAGAAAATATTAAAAATTATGAATCCAACAAAGCAGTCTTTACTTCGCTGCCTAAGGAAACGAGCACTGTATTACATATCACTTTTCTACTGTGCAGTGTGCTAGCCATAGGGGAGAACTAGTCACTTGAGTTTGGAAATGAAATGTAAGATAAAGAGGTTACTTCACAACTGTGGTAATTCTAGTATGGTCACTTTTTAAATTCCAACTGGAATCCTATACAAAGAACTATCTTGATTCATACCTCCTTTTGTAACTTAGTAACATGACATTTTGGTGTATGAATCACTCTTTTGCCAGTTTAATCAATCAGTCTAAGTAAATCTAAGTAATTTGATAAAAAACAATTCAGTAAATTCATAAAAATAATTCATCTAAATAGTAAATATGAGGACCAGAAGCTATCTCATAAAGTCCAACTTAAATAACCTGACTTATTTCTTTATTCCATTTTTTTCCGATATAGTCTATTGAAACAGTTTTAAGAATTCATTAACAAGATCTATCAACGTTACTTTGCAATTCTTAAGAAGAGCAGCCAGGTTCTTTTAACTATACCTCACAAAATAACCAGTTCATGATATAGTCAATGGGATTACTTTATAGGTCAATACATCTAAAACAATGGGATTCCTCTTGCACTTATTAATTATGCTGCTATTGATATAATATACTATACAAGCACAAAATGGCTCAAATTTCATGCTTAAAAATCAAAATAATTCAATTCAGTAACAAAAGTATAAAGCCAAAGGAAAAGTTAAACTATAAGGATCAAATAAGAATATTTTGAAATAAAATAATCATACACACAAAAAATTAGGTTTTCAAAAGTTATTCAATTGTAGTCTTTTATATTTCACTAAAGTTCACAGGAAAAATTACAAGCTGAGATCCTAACACAAGAATGTAAATCAGTAAAATTTATCAATTTAAAGCATATTTACTCTCTTAAGAGTATTAATAGAACCCATATATCATTTTGTCCTGAGTTCACTCAATTTGCTTAAAACAGAGTGACGGTATTGCATGCTTATACAATCCATTTCTACCTTTAAAAGTAAATGCTAAAATTAGATAATGTATCACACACAAGAGTTAAGGTAAGGTAAATATGAAAGAGTTAAGGTGAGGTAAAGAATGAAGGAGGGTATATAACATATCTTACTACCACCATGTCCTCATTTTCCTAAAGGCAACTTTGACACAATGTGTAAGAGCTTTGTTCATTCAACATATAATTACTGAACACCTATTGAATCCCAGATACTTTT